AATTTTTGTAGAGCACAACTCATGCATATTTGTCTGTCAGCAGAAACTACAGCTACTTCTGCAGCATTTCATTAAAGTCGCCTTAGGTCACTTTAGCTTCTTGGGTGAGAATAGACCCAAGCAGTGCATATACCGTACTGTTATTTGAAATGTGAAATTTAACATCCTGAGCTGTGCTTTGAAGAACATCTGGGGTAATACACTGCTGGTTTTTAAGGTTACTTCTCATAGCTGCCCCAAATGCATATACAGCAGTACATGAAGAGTTACAGAATCCAATTAGCATTTCATCCACTTCTTTTCTAAATGAATTTAGAAATCCACTGGCCATCGTAATAACTTGATTGCAATTGCAATCTTAATCTGACTGTAAGATTAATTTTTTTGTACGTGTATGGCGACCTTCAGTCCTGATGTCTGGCTAGTAGTGGGTATTTCTTTACAACTGTAATAGGCTTTTTATGTTGTGGATGGCTTGTGCTGTGGGTTCTTTGCTATACCAGCCCATGAGTTTTTTTACCTTTTCTTGCTCCCAGTAGCATTTCAGACAGCACAATACAGATTTATTACTTTGGGTGATAGGTGCTGTGCCACAGATCAGGTAGTCTGCCATGTCCTTTGCTCAATTCTTGCTTTTCCCCATCTATTTTACCTGCTCCTGCTTGCACATGGAGCAACAGCTGTCCCACCCCCAGAGCGAATAATGCAAGAGAGCAGCTCTGGGGCTGTGTAAAAGCCTTTTATCTGAGCGCTTTCAAACTTGCTGTAGCTTCCAAGAAATGGAAAACAGCTGGAAGAAGGAGCAGCATTCAGTACCAAGATGAAGACAAGTCTTGAAGGAGAGAGGCTTTTAAAGAAAAAAAATTTAAAAACCAACAAACCTCAGCTCTGCACTTCACCCACCAGGTCAAGTCGGTCCATTTTCTATTTTCCCCCCTTAAATCAACAGTGATTGGCATCTCCTCAAAAGCAGTTTCAAGGAGGAAAAGATGTTGGGATTAAAAAAAAAAAAATCCAACATTTTACACTGTAGCTACCAGTGGCTGAGAATTGCCTTTGGTAAAAAGAAATCCAAGCATCAAATTAAAAATGCAGCATTTCAGTGGCACATGATTTGCAGTTTTAGAAAATGAACAAATGTTTTTGAGGTCATTTGGATGTTTAAAGGGTCTCATTCTTGAATAGAAGTAGGGACAGCTATGCTTTGATAACTGAAATTTGTATCCTGGTTTTTGCACCAACTGATGCAGGGCTTGGGAATGTTGCAGACTGGAAATCTGATGTCGCAAAAATCTGAGCAGAAGGACTTCTGTTGCTAGAAGCCTTTCCATCTCAGTCCCTACCTTCTTCTCAGGGAAACGCTGGGTAAGAAACCTGAGCCCCAAAGCACTACAGTGCAAGTCTCTCTCCTGTCCCTTGGGGCATTCTCACATTTTCTCAATTTGCTCTTTCCTGTAGAGGCCTCTAACTAAAATCATCTGGCATCCCTTCCCTTCTTGGCGTGGACCGAGTCTGGTGAGAAGCACTGTGAATCCCACAGCCACCAGCTTGCTTGCTTGTTCCCATTATGAATTTTTTTTTTAAATCAAATGGATTTGAGGTGCAGAAACATTAATAGCCCATCTGACGTGATCAACTTTCCTCCTGGAGAAAACCCCAGTGGCTTGCAATTGCACACGTGCTTGCTAAAAATCAGTTTGCTGCTTTTATTGTAGATGTCTAAAGGCTGTAAAGTATGGTTTGTTCCTCAAACTTTTACTTTGTCTTTTCGAGAAAGCACGTGATTAAAATAACTGTTTAAAATGAGCAGCAACAGCTTTCCATAAATACCTGACTTGGAGTATTTAACGTACGTGTAAATTAGCAGCAGTGCCAGCTTGGCTCAGTAATGCCATACCTTTTGTAAAAATATATATATTTTATAACACTGGCTTTTAATATTTGCTTGTCTATAATGAACGGCAACAAAGCAATCCAAGTTGGAGCTAACGTTCTTGTCACTTAGGATTTGAAGGTCCCTGTATGTATATTAATGACTTTTTAACTTTTTACCATTTTAAAGCTCAGAACAGTAATATAGTTGGCCTGTTCCCTTAAATCTTCTTCCGGGGGGAGGGCACACAGTTAAAAAATGACTCATTTTGCTGCACTTGACTGTATCTGATGGAGCGTCTTTGTGTTTGACTTCCTTGTCTGTGTGCTATGGAGTGAATTACAGTCATTAGTGCTCCTTTGCTGCTCTAGCTGGTAATCGGTGAGTGTTTTATTGATAGATTTACCACATTTTATTCAGAAAAATGTTGCTCTTGGATCACTGCTTTTTCTGGCTCATCCTGTTTATGCAGCACAGCATCATTTCAGTGGCATGCTCTTCTGTTTGTACCTTAAACTGCTGGGGCGAATTACTGATCGACACAGTTTAAATCTCATTAGGACTTCAATAGAGGAAGGTCACTTGGGGGTTTCCTTCAGCATCCTACTGCCTTTGGTACTTCTAGCTCACCACCAGGCCTGCCTTTCTAACCCTACCAAGTAAAAGCCCTCCATTGTAGCTTACCTCTCAAGTTTCTTGCATCTCCTAGGTGCCACCATCAAGACACATGAATTGGTTTGAGAGCTTGCTAGAGAATAATGGACGGTTTTTCATAGATTCATAGATTAAGGGTCGGAAGGGACCTAGTAGATCTTCTAGCCCGACCCCCCGCCAGGGCGGGAGAACAACAAAAAGCCCCAAAAAGAGACAGGACTCAAATGAGTCCAGCCAGGTAGGCATCCAGCCTCTTCTTAAAGACCCCCAGGGTAGGGGCCAGCACCACTTCCCTTGGAAGTTGGTTCCAGCTCCTAGCCGCCCTAACTGTGAAGTAGTTCTTGCGGATGTCCAATCTATACCTCCTCTCCATCAACTTGTGCCCATTACTCCT